AGAAAATTCATACTGGAGAGGCAAAGGAAGGATCCTTGGAGCCTAGGAGTGAGGAAGGTAATGGTAACTCGCCTGGGGGGAGGGGAGGGAGGAGAAAGGCCTGGGCCTGCTCCCAAGAGGAAGAGAACACTGGGTCCTCCCTCCTAAGTGTGGAGTTTTTAGGGGAGGTCCCAGGGTCAGATCTCAATAGAATATTCAGCAGCTTTCCTGGTGTGTCCTTTCAGGGTCTAGGTCTCCACTGATTGATTGGTCAGCACCAGGGCAGGGGGTCATTATTAAATGGAGCTGGTTCTGAGGTCAGCTGTGGAGTCGCTTATCTGGTTTTGCTGCTTTTCTGGGCCTGGAGCTGAAGTACAACTGAAGCCTAATGTTAACTCTAGGGAGGAAAGAACAGGGGGTTCAAAAGGCAGGACCAGCGCTATGCTAGGGGAGGAAAGGCCACTCTAGGGGTAAGGTCCCACCCTATAATTGTCCGTTGCTAGGCTCCTGGGTCTTTCCACCCTGGTGACCTTCTGTACCTGGCCCATCTTCCTTGGTCTGCTCATGTCTGTCTAACTGCCTATCACAATTTCACTGTAGTAAAGGTACAAGCCAATCTTATTTATGCATATATCTGACAAATATTGAATCTTTTTTTAAAAAAATGTTTTTATTGATTTCAGAGAGAAGAAGGGAGAGAGAGAGAAACATCAATGATGACAGAGTCATTGATTGGCTGTCTCCTGCACACCCTCTACTGGGGATCAAGCCCACAACCCAGGCATGTGCCCTGACCTGGAATTGAACCATGACCTCCTGCTTCATAGGCCAACACTTAACCACTGAGTTATGCTGGCCAGGCCAAATATAAAATCTTTATATAAAAGTGAAACCAGCAATGAACTCAAAATAATTTAATGTAAACATAGTTTCCCAGTAATTTTTTTTAACTTTAAAAGTAGAAATTTTAAACATTCACACATTTTATAAAATAAAGTGAACTTCTGTTTACCCTTAAGACACTGCAAAGTGTGTCAGTGTTTAGCCAGTCATTAGTCTTGTATAATCCATTCCAATCTTCTCCTTGGGGTAGGGTTTGGGTAGGAAATGGAACTGGAATACTTTAATGCAATTCCTAGAATTATGTATTTCTCTAAAAAATAAGTTGGGAGCCATAAAATTTATCTCTAAAAAATTATTCGTCAATTATATAGAAGACAACAAAGACTTCCAGGCTATTATAAAACAAAATTATTAAAAATTTTTAAAAATATCATCTAATACCCAGTTCATATTGACATTCTCCTAAATTAAGCAAATGTATTTGAAAAATTATTTATTATAACATTAGAACTCTTAAATTCTGTCTGAAAAGATAATTTAAGACCAGGTAAAAAATCTAAGTATATAACTGCAATCTTCATCACTGAGAAAGAAATCATATCCAGAATATATAAAAATTAATTTTTACTCATTCAAAACAAAAAGTAGACACTCCACAATAAATTGAAAAATAATTGAAATTGTACACCTTAGTAAACTCATGTGATGAATATTTTATTTCATTACATACAGCCTTTTAATAATAAAACAAATGTAAACAACAACACCTGTTCACATACATACAGTTAGTAAAAGTTCATACATTACCCAGTGTGTCACTGATATGGAGAACTAGGGGCTCTCCTCCAGAGTCAGTGTGAGCATTATTGGCTTAACCACTTCAGTGGACAATATAGTCACATGAACTAAACATGAAGATACGTGAAAATAATGATCCAGCAATTAAATCTCTCACTTTCAGTTCATAAAAACAAAGAGATTGCCCAAGGATGTTCACAGAAGCATTGGGGCAGACGTGTTACTCAGTTCCAGTGGATTGCCTTTTGGGGTGTTGTATTCAAGAGGAGGACGTTGTTGTCATTAGGTAGCTTTATTTCCTTGCAGCAGGTAAAGGAGACAAAGATTCATTTCCAAAGCTCTGTCTCCCCAAAGGGAGCCTTAGCCATTGTTTATATATGCTATTTGGTTAATTACCTGTTGCTTTCATCTTTGCAGTTGGCTAAACATATTTGGTTGGGTTCTGGTCAAGCTCATAGGCAACAGCTGCATCTGCCAAATATTGTGCTACATTTTAACAGTGAGCAAGAACAGCATTTACTAAGAACTGCTCAGGCCTTGAGACCCTTGTGCTAACTAACAGAAGGAAAATATTGGACACAACATAAATGCCCATAACAGAATCAGCAATAAAAACCAGCAAGCCTCGTGCATGGACATAAATAAGTAACAATGGTGAAACTGAATGAACTAGAGGTACATGTATAAAAGGAGATATTTCAAAATTAACTGAAAAAAGTCAAGATACACAATTTAAACAGTATATTGACATGAGTATAAATATTTTGCACTTGCAGAAAATAATATGTAGTGTGAATGGAGATTGCCAAGGTGGAGTATCTTATATCAAAGGAACTCAAATGAAGCCTGGAGGCCACTGAGAAGTTTGTTTTACATAGGTCCCATTCAACACATTTCTCCAAAAACTATAGAAACTACGAGCTGTGCCTGCACTTTATCTCCTCCTTAAAACCAGACCACCTGAACACTGTACTTTGAACCAACCCATTTTGTTTGTCAGCATCCTTGATTTAAACACATAATTGGCTTAACCAGTTTCTACCCATTTAGACTAAATTCTTTACTTACATAAAGAGAATTGGATTAAGAACAGTCTGTGCCTTTATAAGCCCTGCCTTTCTTTGTTCTCCCTAAAGGACTGTTTAGGTTGCTCGGTTCTTGGCGGGGGAGAGGGTGGTGATGAGATCACTGGTGTCTAGATTAGGCTGATGGAATTAGCAGGAAGGGAACTAAGTGCTCGAGACGCAGTACCTGACAAAGCCCAGCAGAAGGGACTTTCCCCTCAGTTTTTCTTCTTTTTTTAAAAAAAATTTATCTTTATTGTTGAAAGTATTACAAATGTCCACTCCCCC